ACTGGCATTTGGTGATAGTAATTTCAGAACTGGATTGATGATAAGATCTGGCGGTGTCTTCATATTAGGACAGGAACAAGACACACTGGGAGGCGGATTTGATCCAGCCCAAGCATTTAAAGGAGATCTAGCAAATTTTAATTTGTGGGACAGGGAATTAGAAGGTGTAGATATCCTAAACTCCACACACGACTGTTCATGTGATATTGAAGGCAATGTGTTTTCATGGAAGTCTGATAGTCTTGATATTACCGGAACTGCACTAGTCTCGGCTATAGATTTCTGTCGTAAGTTTTTTGTGTTCAAGTAAATCCGTCGTCGAGGGCATGTCATTAATTGTCACGTGGTTTGTAACATTTAAAACTTGTTTATGTGACTCTTGCGACACACTGCCGGGAAATTATACTACAGGACAACATACGCTTTTAATCAGGAAAAAAGTCTTACAAATAAATGTATTCTTATTTCAGCTCAGCCTTCACTAACGAACGTAGCACTAGACAAGAATGCAACGCAGAGCAGCGATTGGTCAGTTTCTTTCCCAGCATCCAATGCGGTGGATGGTAATACAAACACACACTGGGTTAGTGGCAGTTGTACCAGCACACTCAGTGACATTAATGCATGGTGGAAAGTTGATCTTGGTGAAAATTATCTTGTATATGAAGTTATTCTTACTAATCGTCTAGATCCGTGCTGTAGTGAGTATAACTACGACACTTTTTGCAAAATTCATTACATATTACATAATCATCAATAATACAATATCCTCATGGAATGTCAGACTCGTATACTGTGTCATCATAGTATTGTCTCTGATTAAGGCTAGACTTGTTCTAATGTTTAAATAATTTGAGATATTTTTATGCGAGTATATGGTTAAACAGACAACTATATGCCTTGAAATATGTATCTCATGGCCATATATTCAACAATAATGTGATTCTGTTTCAGAAACGCGTATTTTGAACAGCGAGGTTAGAATTGGTGTATCGGATGTCATATCTGAAAATATCCGATGCGGTGAATTAGTTACACTAGAACAAACCAGTCAGTCAGACATCGTATTTGAATGTGACAGTCCGATTGTTGGACGTTACGCCAGTCTGCAGCTTGTGGACAGAACTGATCTTCTTAACTTTTGTGAAATGCAAGTGATGGCAATAGGTAAGATACGAACCATAATTAGTGAATATTCGAGCTAAATACCAGAGAGAGAAATAACTATTGAATCGGGCAAGTAATAAACATACAACTGCGTTATAACAGAACTGACCAAGTGAAAAAAAACGAGTGTAAAGATAAGATCGGCGGAGAGAATCATATGTTGTAAGTATGAATGTATCAGAGATAAATGTTACAGACAAATACATACAAAAATAGGAAACCTAGATATAAATATATAAATAATATTAAGAAACATTCGTACAGCACAACGTAAACTTGATACATTCCAAAATATGTACTGTCGAATAGTCGAAATCCATTCGAAAATCCTATGTAGTTATTAATAAAATAACACCAGTCCAGTGAATGGTGCATACAGTGATCAAATTATTCAAATACGCAGATGTATGAACCATTAATTCGAAAATGCATTACTAATGAAGGAACTGAAAAAGAATGAACGAATGAACAAATGAATGAATGAATGAATGAATGAATGAATGAATGAATGAATGAATGAAATTAATAAATGAATAAATGAATGAATGAATGTATGAATGAAGGAAGGAAGGAAGGAAGGAAGGAAGGAAGGAAGGAAGGAAGGAAGGAAGGAAGGAAGGAAGGAAGGAAGGAAGGAAGGAAGGAAGGAAGGAAGGAAGGAAGGAAAAACATCAAACCACAGTGCTAATTATCTAAGTCGCTGCCAAATCAACCCCACCTCTAAACAGTTACCTGAAAGAATAACATTTCATGTAAAACAAAACTACCCTAACAAGGAATATAAATCATGTGAAAAGTAAACTGTCACACTTATACAATATTCACTTTATGATTGTATGTGTTATCTAGAAAATATTGCTCTAAATGGAATTGCCAGCCAGAGTAGTACTGCTTCTGGAGGACTGCCAGTTCGTGCAATAGATGGAAATGATTCTTCTACGTATAGTCAAGGGAGTTGCATGCACACGCTAAAGGAACTAAACAGTTGGTGGAAAGTAGATTTGGAAACAACTTACGATATTTTTAAAGTGGTTATAACGAATCGTGGAGATTGTTGCGGTAAGCTATACTAACATAAATATGATTTCTTGAAATTGTACATAACAGTTGATCAATGTTAAAACACTCAATGCATCTTTTGAAATATTAACAATGAGTTCACATGATCTTGAATCACAAAACTGATTCACGCTACGTATTGATGATGAGTATAACAGATAAAATACATAAATATATTTTCTTAATCTGAAAGAATTCACCTTTTCTGAATCAACGCTTTCTGGTATCTAAGCATTCATATGACGTCAAACTTGCATATATGGTAGAAATGCGATAAAACGAATATGGTATCTCGTTGTCAGCCATTTAGCCAATGGTTACGTTTCCAAAAACATTTAGGCACAAATGGCCGTCAAAATCTCGATGAAAGCGAGATGTAACGCAATGGAAAACTATTTGTGGGCAGAAAACAAATCTTCTGGCTATCTCACTTGTAACAAGATCATGGCGGCCATTTGCTTTTAAGAATTATTCATATGAACGGACACCCCA